TTGGAAACTGGGGGCCTTTGGGAAGGTGTTAAAGTCAGGAGGGCTCTGCCATTGTGAACAAATAAATGCCTGTATAAAATGGGTTTGTGGGAGTGGGTTCACTCTCTTGCCCTTCTGCCATGTGAAGATGCCCCCCTCCTTTTGGGCTGTACTGGGTTTTGAACTCAGGGCCTTGAGCTTGCTAAGCAGGTACTCTACCACTTGAGTCATGTCCTCAGCCCCTGCCATGTGAAGATGTAGTAAGAAGGCCTTTACCAAATGCCAACAGCTTGCTGTTGGACTTCCAGCCTCCAGAATTGAAGAATATTTGTATTCTTTATAAATTACCCAGTCTCAGGTATTCTGTCATAGCACAACTATGAGCTGTCATAATCAGTGTGAAGTGGTATGACATTATGTTTTCATCTATATTTCCCTAATGATTACTTAGGTTAAGCATCTTTTCATGTACTTTATTGGCCATTTGTGTTTCTCTTAGCTGGCACATGGCATGAGCATGTAGTCCCAGCTATTTGGGAGGCTGAGGCAGGAGTATCACTTGAGCCCAGGAGTTTAAGGCCAGCCTGAGGAAGGTAGTGAGACTCCACCCCATCCTTGTCTCCATATCAAAACAATTATAAAATCTATATTTCTCCTTGGGCATATCTCTTTAAGTCCTTTACTCCTTTTTTGATTTGGTTGTGAGGTTTGTTTTGTTTGTTTGTTTTTCTTTCAGTATTTGAATTGTAGGAGGTTTTTGGTATTCTGGATATTTTGTACCTCTGTTTTGAATGGGATTTCTTTTTCTGATAGTTTGTTGTTCATGTATGGAAGCACTACAGATATTTGTGTGTTGACATTGTATCTTGCCACTTTATTGAGTCTGTTCATTCTAACAGTTGTTTTGGTGGCGTATTTTATGTTTTCTATATATATGATCATGCCTGCAAACGGGCAGTTTAAGTTACTTTCCAGTTTGGATGCCTTTTCTTTCTTTCTCTTACCTGAGGTTTTTCTTCTCTAGCAATAATATTTCCTCAGTTACAGATTTTCAGTGCTTACTGTTACTAATCATGAGTAGTATAGGAACAGTCTTCTACATGAAGTGCTAGGGACTGTGGCTTTTATTCACCTGGCAGCTCCAGGAAGCTGGAGAAACCTTCATCAGGTTAAAACAGATGCAGCTTGTACCCTGGAGCACCCAGCTGCTGTACACAAGTATAAAGCTGCAGCTGCTCTGGGTCTTTCTGTTTGGGGTTTATGTTCAAAACCAGGGGGCTCTTAATCAAAGTGGATGTCTCATCATCATTTATCACAGCAACTTCCTTTCCTTTGATGTCAGCTGCTTTTAAGAAAGATAAAGGAGGAGAATGCTCTTTTTGAGGTCTATAACATGACTTAGATATATGGCTCATGTGTGTTTAAAATTGTGGCGAAATGCACATAACACAAAATTTACCCTTTTAACCATTTTTAAATATGTGATTCAGAGGTGTTAAGCTCTTTCACATTGTCGCGCAACCAATCTCCAGGACTTTTTCACCTTGCAGAACTGAAGCTATCCATTAAGCAACTTCTTTTTTCCCCTTCAAGCAGCAGCAGCCTTTCCCTCAGCCCCTGGCCACCACCCTTCTTTCTGTTCCCATGAGTTTGACTACTTCAGATAGCTCATGTAAGTGGAACCACATAGTACTTGTCTTTTTGTAACTGGCTTATATTGCTTAGGATAATGTTCCCAAGGCTCATTCATGTAGTAGCACGCTCTACATGCTTATATATGAAGTCAGGTGACACCTTCCTCCCACCCTCCCCTAGCACCACTGACACTGGGAACTGTTTGTGTTTTTTAAGTCTGTCCTTCAAAATGTATCTCAAAATAATTGTTGCCTTTTCTCACCATAAATGTCCATCATACATCTACTCATTAAAATAAAATAAAGATAATAGAAAAATGAAGTTTTTATGAAAAAGAATATATTCTTTCATCTCAATTTTTTTTGACAGGCTTGGAATTTGAACTCGGGCTTTGTGCTTGCAAAGCAGGCACTCTTCTCTACGGCTTGAACTTGCAGTTCATTTTGTTCTCATTATTTTGGAGAAGGGGTGTTGTGAGCCATTTGCCTGGGCTGGCCTAGAACCTCGATCCTCCTGGTCTCAGCCTCCCAAATAACTAGGATTACACCTGGCTTCCAAATGTTTTATTGATTTGCAATGTGGTGAGAGATGAGATGTGAGAGCTGCAAAAGGGACCTCATAAAAAGTCTTGAAAGAGTTTCATCTTTGTAACAAAGGCAAAGGGGAAGGTTTGTATCAGTTAATAATTGCTACCCTAAAACTTAGTGGCTTAAATCAGTACTATTGATAACAGTTTTGGGGGGTGGCAGTTTGGATGGAATTCGGATGGAGCTTCTGCAGTTCGGAAGTTAGTCATCTTCAGGCTTGATATCCTGTGTCTGGCAGTTGGTGGTGGCTCTTTAAACTGGTTGGTCAGTAGGCCTTAATAGGAAGAACCTCGTTTGCCCTCAGCCTCCTGGCTAGAAGAGATTTCTCCACATGGTGGTCTTTAAGTACAAGAGGTCTAGGTTCACAAGCCTGTGTTGTCACTTCCCCTGTCACTTCTGTTGGTTAGAACAAGTTGTTGAGCCATCCCAGATCTAGGGAAGCAGAAAAATAGACCTCCTCCTTTTCTTCCTTTTTTTTTTTTTTTTTTTTTTTTTGTGGTGCTGGGGATCAAGCCAGGACTTCACTCATGCTAAGCACACATTCTACCACTGTACTGTATCCCAGGACCAAGACTTCACCTTGTGATGGAATTGGCAGCAAAGTTTTATTGTGAAAATGTGCAACAGAGATGGGAGGAACTCATACATAGCTTAATTTTTGCAGTCTTCCTCAGCTATGTTGGGTGAGATTTGTATTTTCAGAAAGATCAGAGTGTATTGTCAACAGAGATTGAGGGGAAAAGGAGTTAAGACAGGGTGGAGGCCATTGCGGTGATCAGTAGAAAAGGTGGCAGTGACATTGTCACACAGTCTTCATCCTCTGCTTCTTGGAATTGGGATGTCTGAAGACATTCTGTACTGATTTATGAAAAGACAAAAATGGACTGAAGAGACAATTGACCTAGAGAGGCTGCCATGGATCAGGCTCAATAAAAATAGTTGACCAGGTGTGGTGGCTCATGCCTGTAATCCTAGCTACTCAGGAGGCAGAAATTAGGAGGGTCACAGTTCTGAGCCAGCCTGAGGCAAATAGTTTGCAAGACCCCATCTCAAAAAACCCTGTCACAAAAAATTGGGCTGGTGGAGTGGCTCAAGGTGAAAGCCCTGAGTTGAAGCCCCAGAACTTAAGGTGTAGACCCTGAGTTCAACCCTGCCCCCCAGAAAGGTTAATTTTTTATAGTCTTTCTAATAGTTCAGCTAATTCAAAGAAAAAACGTTTGGGATGTACTGGCCACCAGGAGCGCAGGAAGAAATTGAATGAAGGCAGATTTATGTTTGTTATGGCAGTTCAATTAAAGTAATTTATCCAGAGGTGAGAGTAAAGAATGTATGTATTTCAGAGGAGATGTTTGTTAGGGGGGTACATTGACTTATGCCTGTAGTACCAGCTGCATGGGAGGTAGAGATCAGGAGGATTGCATTTTGAGCTGGCCCAGGCAAAAAGTTAGCACGATCCCCCATCTCAATGAATGACCCAGGCATGGTGGAATCAATTGGTTTGCAATATGGTTTGGATACCTGTAGGATTTTTCACTCAAATAGGAAATTGTTAGTTTTTTTTTTTCTTTCTTAGTACTTAATTGAATACTATTTAGCAGTTAAAAATTTGCCCATTGCTCTAGAACTTAAGTATTCATATGTATATGCAGTTTTTGTAACTTAGTGTTCTATATTTTGTATAGCTTATATTGAAAATAAATTGCTTTGAAATTTCTTTACACAAAGGTGATGCTGAGTAGTTATCTCAGTAATCCTTTGTTGACACTTTGAGGTTAGCTATAAATGAATCAAATTGATACATACTCTGATTTCCAGTTCACAATTTATACCCAGTTTTTTAAGTTGATATTTTATGTGTCTTTGCAATGCCAGTACCATTTTCCCAGCATTACAGTAGCGATTATTTTATTGACATTTATTAAAGTACTGCTAAGTATAAATTTCAGTTTCCTGAGATCAAATGTTCTTGCTTCTTTTCCTGTAGATGAAGGGCCAAAAACAGGGAATGTTAGTTTCTAAACAGTGGTGTATTATATGAGTGCCAGTTTTGAAGGAATGCCAGAGAAATGATAAATTATATAAAGCCTAAGTTAAACCCATATTTGCAAGAATTTTTTATAAGTAGTATCTTTGTCATTGGTCTTCCCAACTTAAAAAGCAATCTATGATGGAGGGTTTTTTTTTGTTTTGTTTTGTTTTGTTTTGTTTTATGATAGAGGTTTTTACATATGGACAGAAGAACGTAACTCCCCCTTCCATGTGCTGCTCATTCATCTTCATTAACTACCACTTTGCACCCTTCTCTCTTCATCTGCTGCTGCTCCTACTTCTGCTTCATTTTATTATCCGTTCTTACTATTTGATATAACTTATACGTCACAATGAGTATAACTCTACTGTCATCTAATGCCCCCTCCCATTTTCACATTCTGTGATCATGTCAAAGTTACCATTTTTCCACTTAGTTTTAGTCAAAACTTAAAGATTACTTGTTGCTTTGGTTAATAGTTCTTAAATTTCTTTTAATCTACATACTATGTAGTTTTCACCACCCCCCCTCCTTACCCATACCATTTCTTTGTTGAAGAAATGGGGCAATTCACTCCAAACTTTTTTCTGTATTCTGAGTTTCACTGTTTAAAATGGGAGATTGGTAAAAAGACATTGCCCTGAAAGAAGTTCTTTTTCCATTCATCTAATATTTTGGTCCAAAATTTATTTTATATTTTTCTGTAGCATTTTAAGACAGTGAGTTTCTTATATCTCTACTATTTTTCAACTAGCTTTCTTTCTTTTTAGCTACAAGGCTTTGGCCGGCCAAGAGTTTATCACGCTGCTGTCGTCATCTTCCTTGAATTCTTTGCGTGGGGCCTGTTGACAACTCCAATGTTGACTGTAAGTATTACAACTGAGGGCAAGAGAGCTTGTGCATACATCTCCATGTTTATATGTCTGTGTATGTGTTTGGGAGTAGCTCTGGATAGTAATTTAAGACTGTGTTCAAAAGGAAAGGAAACCTAAAACTTGAAAGTGTTTGATGTGCCCAGTGTAGAGGAGATAATAAAGTAATCATAAACTGACAGAGGTCATTATGGGAAGGTGACCAGGCAGTAGTGAAGAGGTCTGGTAGAGAGGAACCAATTCAGGTTGCAATACACATGTGCATGGAAGCAATGCTAGGAATCTCTCCGTATAGCTATCTTTATCTCAAGCTAGCAAAAATGCTATGTCTTTCTTATCATCTCTTATGTTTTCTCTTCAACAAAATTGGGGATGAGGACAAACTAGGTTCTGCCTGGAAGAGAAGGGGGTTGGGGGAAGAGAAAAGGGGCAGAAGCAGGGGGGAGAGATGGCCCAACAATGTATACATATATAAATAAATGTATAAACAATTTTTTTTAAAAAGACTTCAATTTGACTGTTTTCATGATTTAATATGAACCACCTGCAAGAAAACACCCAATTAAATTTTCCCAGGTAGCACTGCACTGCCATGGAACCAGAGTCTTAGGTGAACTGTATATATTTAGGAAAGTCTTTTAGATATCCTATAGGAAATACAAAGTATTATTGAAATTTGTCTTCTTTCTGTGGATATTAGTGACCTTTGACTTAGGACATAGTAAGTAGGAGATTGATAAGTACTTTGTAACAGCTGAGAATAATAAATGTAAGGATATCCACATTTTTGGTTTTATAGCTTATCTACCACCATTTCTTCAGACCCAATAATGAGTTTCTTAGTAAGAACTTAAATGTTTAATATGTGGTGTGGTTAAAGGGAAAACAAGTACTGACGAAAAGATTGGAGGGCAGATTTTAGGTGCCTACTAATTATTTAACACTTAATTTTAATAAAGATAATTTAAATTACCCTGTCAGTTGTTTTTAAAAATCATTGGAGGTTAACTCTTCCCAGAGAATTCCTTTTGGTACAGGTAATCTTTGTTCCCCAGTTAGGTTTAGAGAACTCAGAGGGTGGATATTAGCCAGTTAACCTTACATAAGACTTTGCTATTGAACTTTTAGAGTTTTTAAGTCCTTTGACACATTTAAAATGCATTCTTATTAATTAAAATTATAACTTGGATGGAGTATTGAACTTAAAAAATTGCCTGCGTCTCTGACCCTCTTTTATTCTTTCTTGTTGTCCTATCTTGTTCTTTGTAGTGCTTTACTGTAGTGATTAGTTATTTGTTAGTGAGGAGAAATGACCCTCGTTTTAAGTTCATGAGCTCTGACCTTTTGTCACTTAGAGCCTTGTGTAGCCTGGAACCTAGCTGGTGCTTAATAACTATTTTCTTTTAACAAATAATGTGTATTGCAGGCACACACATGTATCTTCAAGTAAATGTTTCTCTGAGTCACATTTTAGTATGAATATAGACACACCAAGAAATTGGGTTAAAATAAACCTAACATAAATTACTGTCTTAACATTTTCAAGTGTAGTTCATTCACAATGTTGGCAGTTGCTACCACTGTCTCCAGAACTCTTTTTATTTTTTTAAGGAAGTTGGCGGGTACTGGGTTTCAAACTTAGGACCTTATGCCTGCTAGACAGACCCCCAGCCCTTTCCACTTTAGTTATTTTTCAAATAAGTTCTCATATTTGTGCAAGTTGCCCTGGACCAATCCTCTATTTTTGCTTCCTGTGTAGCTGAGATGACAGGCGAGTACCACCACACCCAGTTTTTATTGGTTGAAATGGGCTCTTGCTAAGTTTTTGCCTGGTCTGCCCTCAAACTGTGATTCTCCTGATGTACACCTACTGAGTAGCTAGGATTATAGGTGTGAACCACTGCACTCTTTGTCTTATAAAAATAAAACCTTATACCCATTGATCAATAATTCCCTACTTTCCTCCCTTGGCATCCATCACTCTCCTGTCTGTTTCTGTGAATTCCAGGACTGATTACCATAATGTTGTCTTTTGTGACTGCCTTTTTTTTTAACTTAGCGTAATGCTCTTAAGATTCATCCATGTTGTGGCATGTGTCAGGATTTCCTTTCTTTTTAAAGATGAATAGTTCTCCACTGCATGTGTGCTACATTTTGTTTATCCTCTCATCAGCTGATAGACTCTTAGTTTGTTTCCACCTTTCCACTATTATGAATAATAGTGAATATGGGTCTATAAAAACCTGAACCATGAACATGGGTCTATAAAAACCTGTTCAGGTTCCTGCTTTGAATTCTTTCTGCTATATACCCAGAAGTGGAATTGCTGGATCATACAGGAATTATTTTTAATCTTTTGAGGAAGTACCAAGCTTGTTTGTGGAGAGGCTACATCATTTTATATTCTTACCAACCCTGTACAAGGGTTCCAGATTTCTCCACTTGCTTGCCTGCACTTGTTGTTTTCTAGATGTTTTGTTTTGGTTTTATTTATTTTGAACTCAGGGCCTCAGGCTTGCTAGGCAGGCACTATACTACTTAAGCCACAACACCAGCCCCTATTTTTTACTTTTTGGTACAGGGTCTTACTATGTAGACCAGGCTTGCCTGGAACTTGGCCTCAGCCTCCCAAGCACTGAGATTACAATTATGTACCACCACACTGCCCTTTGTTTTGTTTTTGATAGTAGCCATTCTAGTGTGTATGAGACAGACCAGGATACCGATTTTAATTAATTGAGTTTTTGTTGTTTTTTGGATGGTACTGGGTTTGAACACAGGGCCTCATGGTTTATTAGGCAGGTGTTCTACCACTAGAGGCACAGTTCCAGTCCCTGTTTTTTATTTTTAACATTTTTGATACTAGTTTTCTGATTATCCCTTCTGCCCAGCTTCTTTGCTTACAAAGTTAAGAGTTTGTGATGGACTGTGTTCTAGTGGTTCAGTGGATTTCTCAGTAAAGAAATAATCCCATGATCATCCTTTACTTAGTAGGAATTCAAATTGAGATGAAGAAAGAATACCTTAGTGTGTTTATTTTGGGCTTTTGTTTCTTGCATATGGGGAATCAAACCCAGGGCCTTACACATGCTAGTCAAGTGCTCTACCACTGAGCCACATTCTAGCCCAAGAAAATACCTTAGTATATTTGATGCAGCCCTATCAAATTCTAAAACCTTCTTCCAGACACGTAACAGCCTTTGAGCCATACTAATCCTTGGCCAGATGGTAAGAGCTCTTATTTCAGTTCATTAACTAATTTTAATACTCCCCCAGAGGTTGATGTATCTTCCATCTAACTGCCCAAAGCAGGTAACTTTTGGGAGTTTCTGTGTCCCTGGCAAACCCTGCAATGCATCTTATAGCCAGCTGAAATACTGCTCTACAGCCTCTTTGTGGTTTCTGAGCACAGAATATATAAACGCTTTGTTGAATAGTTTGCTCTTTACATGAAAAGGAAGTAATGTTCTAACTATAGTCACTTGGAGACTGTCTTGCTTTCTGGAATCATAAGGTATTTTCAGACTCACCTGTTTTGGAAGTTTTCTAATTGTTTTGAATACAGGCCTGTTTATTACATGATAATTATTAAAATCAGATAAATACCATTCATCAAAGTATCTGTAATATGTCAGCACTGTTTGTTAAATTTTTGCTTTCTCTTGCATATCTGACTATTCTGCTATAAGGAGCATTTACCACACAGCTGCAATAAAGCTTTGCTTGGCATTTACTTCTGTTCTGTTGTTGTGTGTGGTAGTCTGTCACATACCTTTAAAGGTCAGTGCTCATTTCCTAGTCAACCGTGACATTATAAGAAGAACTGACATGGAATGTAAGGTAACCATTGGTGAGCATCCTTGTTTTAAAATTTCATATACAAAACATTCTGGTGAGCATTTGGTTTTGTTATAGATTTTTCAGCACTTTTAATATATCACTTCTCTGTTTCCTGGCATCCATTATATATGATAGTAAGAATTGTCATTCCCCTTGGGTTGGGGTTCTGCAGACTGTGGTCCATGGGCCGCATCTAGCTTTTGTGCTAGATGTCTGCTCAGAATGGTTTTTAGCACCACAATATATTATTAATAATTTATACATTCAGTATCTAGTTGGATTTACTGTAATATTTCTCCATTCTGAAGCTCTTCCTCCTTCTGAATTTCTGTATATTCTTCTGTAATCAATTCTTGAAGACTTTTTTTGATGAATTCTGCTGTGTAGTGTTGTTTGTAATGCCCATGGCATCTTAAATCTATGGGAGAACTTTCATGCTTATTTAAGGCCTGCTTCAGTCTCCTACCATAATTAACTTACTGGTGTGAGGTAGATTATATTTTCCTTTTTGCATGTGTGTCTTTTTTGTGCTTTTTAATGGATTTCCTCAAAATTTTTCCTAAATTTTGTATATCTGTTTATATTTACAAGCGAATGTAGATTAGGGGTTGAGAAAACAATGTCTTCTGTAGTTAGGTGGAATAAACGTGCGAAGTGGGGTAGAGTAGGCTGGTGTTACAGCTAGAATGTCTGCTTCTTCTATGGCAGCGACAGAGTGATTCAAGCCCAGTGTTTTGAGGTCTTCTGGGTTCCCATGAAGAGCTAGAAGATTGTACAGATTTTGGTGAGACTTTTGAAATTTACACAGTGACATTCACACTTTGAAATATGAACCAGAAGTGCATCAGCCATCAGTTTACAGACAGGTCATAACCAATTTGCAACTTGTGATTTAGTCACTTCTGGTAGCTAGAGTGGAAAGCCCTATTCCTTAAAATTTAGTGCAGGGACTGATGATAGCAGCTCTTGGTCAGTGAAAGTGTGCAGCCTAGGGTTTCCTGTATAGTATATCTTAACCGTTTAATTCTGCAAGTATTCCATTTAGAAGTCTCACTTCAGAAAACTAGACTTGTGAATGTTATCTTGTGTCCAAATACAAAGGTCAGCAGCTTTGAGAGCAAGATAGCAGAGATTTAATTGTGTGATCTTTTAAT